CGAAATCTTGATGCCAAAGGAAAGGGTTCATGAAACCCCAACAAATTTCAAAAACTAGGGTTTTGAAACCCTAATTTCGAAAATCCAAGCCCTAGGGTTTGTTTGCTATAAACCCTAATTTTTCAAATTCATACTTTTGTATCAAATCTAATTGAAAACAACAACCAAAGGCTCTGATACCACTGTTGGGTTTTATACAGACAATCCTATGTGTACATGCAACCCTAGTTTTGGATCTATGTTTTCACTATTAGACATACAACAAATGAACACATATGGAAACCCTAGCATGCATATAATATTTCAAAAATCACAAACAAAATATTAGAATACATAGCTTTGTTGTTATATAGTAATAACAACTAAATCTTGAAGTTCCTTTGCTCTTGAGAGCAAGTACCACAAATGTAGTACCTCTAATGGCTCACAAACACACTTGAGTGAGAGGATGAATATGAGAGAGAGGAGAAAGGGTAGCTTGCTCCAAAACGGTTCTTCTAGGGTTTTCCAAGGGTTGGACGAAATCTAGAGCCTAGGGGGTTTATTTATACTTGAGGTTAGCTAAGGTTTCAGGGTGGAAACCCTAATCCCTTAGTTTAGGGCCTAAGCAAATCCATGGACCTCCTTACATTAGGCCCTTGGACGAAAACTCCTAGATCCTTCTAGGATTTTCGGCCTAGCCCTAATAAAGGTGATCCAATGGCCCAAAGCCTCAACTATCAAATAAATTACAAAACAACCCCTGTACTTTTAATCAGTTCCTTTAATCCCAAAATTAATTCCAAATTAATTTCTGATTAAATACTAATTAATAATATGATTCCAAATTAATATATTATTCATATAATATATTAATAAATCATATTTTATGCCCCAATTTATTATTCTTAATAATAAATCAGCCTCTCTCCTCAACAGTCATCCTGTCTAGTCACCAGTGTGAAGGCAACCCAAAAGGACCATGCTACAATCGGGTCAAGTACATACCAAATATAGTTATGGGCTTAGACACCTAATCCAACAGAGAGTGCATGTGATATACAATGTTCTTGTCGTTTGTTTGAGTTTCGTGGAATTATTTGTAGGCATATGGTGAAGATATTGATTTAGAAGGATATTAAAGAAATTCATCCACGGTATATTTTGTCTCGGTGGAGGAAAGATGTGAAGCATGGACACTTATTTGTTGGCAGTTTCTGTTGCTGCTTTGCTTGACAACATGTTGGCTATGGCTTCATACTTTTCCTCTGAGTATTTCATGAAATCATATAACCCTCCGAGCATTTTATCTATTCCAGCTTTGGGCTTTCCCTCCATACTTTTCCAAATCTTTTTCAATAATTGCATGGCCTTAATTTCCATTGCAACTTATTCCATCTTCAGATGCAAGACTGCATAAATGGAAACAACAATCAAATAATGTTAAAACTTGCACAAATTCATTGAAAATCTAGAATTATACTTTTAGAACAAGGAAAAACAAATAAAAGTCGATGGCTTTATTAACATGTAATTTAATCTGTCATGTTCTGGTTGATGTCAGGTTTTATAGGATTCAAACTACAAGTTTTATCAAATGCTTCTTGATGTATATAAGCTATAAAAACCTAAAACCAACAACATCAATATATTAGCAATGACAAGTTGATAACTTCAATATTCTAACTTACTAAAAAGACTCCAAGTCTCCAACATTTGTGATTGATGAAAGTGTAATGGCCAAATAGAAGGTGTAAGGTTGTATAAAAAAACTTAACTAAATAAATTTGCAAAAAAATCATAGATTCATATTAACATTGCACATTTCTGTTTGAACCAGTAGAGTAACATATCAGAAAAAGAAACTTCTCCTAGGCATTTCATCAAACACATTATGACCATAATCAAACTCTTCTTTAGTAAGACATATTCGTCATCGGCCTAATTTATATGCATACCCCCTGTGAAGAACTAATAGGGATATCAATGAGTTACCTTTCAATGGGATGGACGAATACCTGAGAATCTGGAAAAGTATTCGATTTAATTTTTGGTGCACCAACAAAAAAAGAAAATCCCCAAGAATCGTGTTTGCTGGAAGAAGGCGATGGCGGTAATAGAAACATCTTCGGTCGATTGTTGGAGGGTGAATCTGGAGTTGCGCTTAGAGAGGAAGGGGAGTAGCTGAATCATTGGGGCATTTGTTATGTACTCAACTTCGATCAGGTGGCGATGGAAGATCTGAGGGAAGAGTCGATGAAAAAGGAAGAGATGCATCTGATTACGTTAGTTTTTTTTTTTTTTTTTTTAATATGACTTATTAAGGTAATTAACTTTTCGGTTTGTTCACATCTAGGTAACTATCTTTTTTTTGTACACATCTAGGTAACAAACTTATTGGAAGTGTTCACATATAACCATTATGACCTGCTGTAGCAGGTTACATCCTAGATGTGAACACTTTTAACAAGTTCGTTACCTAGATGTGTACAAAAAAAAATAGTTACCCAAATATGAACAGAACGAAAAGTAAGAGTAAATTACACGAATGGTCCCTGTGGTTTGGGGGAATTTGTGTTTTTGGTCCCTAACTTATTTTTTTTAACTCGGATGGTCCCTACTGTTTATTTTTGTTACACATTTGGTCCATATCTTTCCTAAAAAGACTATTGTGCCCTTATTAATTTATTTTTTAATTAATTTTCTTATTTATGTATTTATTTCTTATATATTTAAAAAAAACTAATAGACCACACATATGTGTATCTCTTCACCGTAAACCTGAAACCACATTTGAGAAATTTAATTTGGGTCTCATCAGTCACCATCCAATCTCTCGTCCTTCTCAACTTCTATTTCTTTTCCATCTTTAGTGACATCGACGTCTTCATCATCCTTCTTTTTTTGGTCCTTCAACTCTGGCGAACCAACACCATAACCCACTGTCTCTTCATCTTTAGTGGGTTGTGGTGTTGATTCGACGGAGTTGAAGGACCGAAAAAAGAAGGGATGGTGAAGACGTCGATATCATTAAAGATGAAAAATAAATAGAAGTTGAGGAGGATGAGAGATGGGATGCTGATGAGATACAGATATGTGGTGTCTATTAATTTTTTTAAATATATAAAGAATAAATACATAAATAAGAAAATTAATTATAAAAAATAAATTAATAAGGGCAAAATAGTCTTTTTTAGGTAAGACAGGACCAAACACGCAACAAAATTAAACAGTAGGGACCATCCGAGTTAAAAAATAATAAGTTAGGGACCAAAAACATAAATTCCCCCAAACCACATGGACCATTCGTGTAATTTACTCTTACTTTTGACCATTTGGGTAACTATTTTTTTGTACACATCTAGGTAACGAACTTGTTAAAAATGTTCACATCTAGGATGTAACCTGCTACAACAGATCATAATGGTCATATATGAACACTTCCGACAAGTTTGTTATCCAGATGTGTACAAAAAAAAGATAGTTACCCAGATGTGAACAAACCGAAAATTTAATTACCTTAATAAGTCATATTCCCTTTTTTTTCAATTATCTTAATTTATTAAGGGTATATTAGGGATATCAAAATATATTAAAATGAATGATAGAATAATGCCAATTGTCATGATATTAGTGGGTAGGTATAAAAAGTAGGAATCAATTTAATTTCTCATTTAATATATCAAATTCATAATCATATGCCACTCTATATAAATAGCATATTATATAAACTATAAATGTAGGTACATATGTAGGTGCTGTTTGTTTTTTAAAAAACCATCTTCAAACCACTTTTTGCTGCGCGGCGCAGCACACGCGCAACACTTTCCCTATCGCAGCAGTTTGTTTTTTGGAAGGCTTCAGACTACAAAACATATGCGCGTGTGCTGTGTGGCGCAACACTTGACTTGCATCTTCAAACCTCTTCGGCTTTCATTTTTCCAAGGTTTTTTTTTTAATTTTGGTATAACTTATTTTTTTTAACTTATATATTTTTTTAACAAAACTTTGATTTTTTTAAACTTTTATTTACGGATTTGATACAATTTCTTTTTATAGTTTCCACAAAAAATTTTAACTTGATTTTAAAAAACTTTGATTTTTTTAATTTATTTACCGTTTCAGTTGCATATTTTTTAACGTGTGTAATTTTTTACGAATTTTGTAGACATTGTTTGCAATACTATCTTAATTTTTTTATTATTTTCTCTTTTAATGTTTTTTAAAATTAGTTTTTCTCTAGAATAAAACTGTTAGCTTCTTTATATTTTTTTAAGTTTTTTTTTTAAAAAAGTTTTATATTTTTGTTTTTTTAGATGTTCTTTTTAGTATTCTTTTAATGTTTTAATATTAGAATTATTAAAATTTCGGTGTTGACAACTATTTTCACTTTATAAAATTAGTTTATTTAAATTTCAGTTTACTGTAGCAGTCTGCAGATGTTAAAAAACAAACATGTTTCTTATTATAGTCTGCAACCGTTTGTTCCACCTCTTCTGCTACAGAGGATTGCAGAGGTGGTCCGTAGACTTCATGAATATTCGTTTCGAAAAAACAAACAACACCTTAAAAAGTCTAAAACGTTAACTAATATACATCAATTATTAAAATCATAAAATTGATTTGCATTTCTTTGCAACAAAACTCGTTCAATAGATTTTCCCTTTTGCCAAAACAACAAAAAACTGAAAACGATATAAATTTGATCTACATTGAGTCTATTCGATATGGGCAACGTCATAAGGCGTTATGCTGATTTGGCAGCTCCCATAACGGCGCCATAACATCGGAACATCACCCCCCTCTCATGTTATTTGGTGTTATGTTAAGAAATGTTATCATGGCCACGAGAAGTAACGTGAGAATCAACCAATCAAAAGCCATTATCTCACTCTTTCTCTAGCTCTTTTTTGTATCTCTTGACATGTTATAACATTTGCACACTATTTCCTAAATAAATCAAATGATGTTAAAGATGACATAGAATATGAGTTGCAAAAGCGTTAAACTATCTAGCTTCCCAAAAATTAGGGTCAATTTTGTTCGACCTTTTTATCGGTTAAAACTCCCAGAAACTTCACCATTCCAAAATCAAACAAAACCCCCCAATTGCACTGCAGAAAGGGCTGTGTTTTTACCTTTCGATCCTTCTTTATCCACTTAAAGTTTTCATTATTATGGCCTCTTCTGCGCTAACACGATTCTTTATCATCTTCACGTTGCTTCCCATAATCACACATTCTATCCCTTTTGTTCTCTTTCATGGTAAGTGTTCCTTTTCCTTTTTTAATCATTGCATGCTTCGATTTGGAGCTTCATGGTCTTTAATTGGATATTGCGCAAAACCCTTAAGTTGTTGTACAGTTTTTGTATTTTTATTGCTTATTTGATGAAAATAAGTTATGGGTTTTCTGGGATTTATGTTTATCTTGAGTCTTGCTTTGATCTTGTTCGCGTATCATTTGATAGTTTTATGGGATTTTATCGTTAAGTATTGTTTTTAATTTTAAGACTCATATGTTTAAATTTGCACATGTTTAACCTAGATTTGGTGGTTTTATGTGGCTATTAGGATAATCTGTTTATGTTGGAAATTGTATTAATATATACTCTTGTTAATTCCATAAATGGAATACATCTTTTTTTAGTCTTTTGTAAAATTCAAATTGTGCATTAATGTTTAGTCTTTTGTAAAATTCCTTTTGTGTAAAATAATATTGTTATAACTTATACACATGCCTCTGTAAACAAACCGATTCTTGTGGATCTTCAAGTTAGAAACTAGTTCACTTGAATCTAATAGAAATATAATACATCACATAAACGTATATATGATTACTTTGAGATACAATCTTGGTATTTAGGGGATTTTTATGTTCATTTTCAAAGTGATTATCCAACTTAAAGCTATATATTATTAGATAATTGTAAATTTATCTCTTCTTACCTAAATATTCAAATCTAGTTAATCAGGACTTAGTCAGGTAAGCTATACATGTGTGTTGTTTTCACTTGATGCATAAAGAACGACTTAATATAGAAAGTATGGAAAATGAAGCTTTCCCCATTAAGTTCTATCTTTTTTACAACTTTGCTCCTTGTTTATTTTTCCTTTCATTTCCCTAAGTGTGGCTTCACTTTCTGAAATATTTTTAACATTGTTTATTCAGACAACACGTAGCTTTATGGAAAAAAGAAAGAAAGAGATAGGTTCTTAGATCATTAAGTAGTTGAATCTTCTAAAGTTGTTTATTTATCATCAAACTTTTTATAATTATGAAAATTGTGTTCAAAGTTCCTGAGTTGTTTATATAAACTTTGTTTATAGGCATTGCAGATGGTTGCACCAAGAAAGGAGTAAAAAAATTTACCCAATCTTTAAGCAAGTGGTCTAATACTCAAGGATATTGCATGTATGCTCTCTTTAATTAACTCTTAATTTAAAAATAGATTCTTGTTAACCAAAAAAAAAGCATAAAAACGTTGACTTTTGCATTATGTGTAGAGAAAATTGGAAATGGGGTCATGGATTCTTGGTTTATGCCCTTTGCCAAACAGGTGGTTTATCTTTATCCATCTTTTTATTACAATAGATTGTTTTCAAATTATTTTTCAAACATTCCTTTGTTTTAAAGAATATAAATTTTGATTTTGTGTTTTTGTCTTGTAGACAGAGATTGCATGTGAAAAGGTAAAGAAATTGATGACAAATCCCTTTCTTGAATCTTGATTTTATTTTTTGTGGTAATCAAAACTTATATATATCACACAAATTATAGGTGAAGAATATGAGTGAACTTAGTGAAGGTTACAACATAGTTGGACTTTCCCAGGTAATGATGATCAAATTGGATTTTATTTTATTTATTTATTTTTGCATAAAAATGACTTTATGATGAAAAACAGACTTTCCATGCGAGAAAAGGTGTAATCTTGTTATTAATTTTCAGCTAAGTGCATGGAATAGCAACATACTTGCATTTATATCTTTCATTTTTTTTTCTATTACAAAATTTTACTTTTGATTTATATTCTTATTAAGGCATTGTAGTCTGAAAAATCTACCCAATCGTAACATTTTATATTTTTAATCTTTTTCTTATTAAGATATTTTACTTTGAAAAATCCACCCAATTACAACAATCAATATTGCTTTGAATTTGGAAGATATTGTTAAAAATTGATAGATTTTTCAAGTATAATGATGTAATAAAAGTAGGATGCTATAATAAACAAATCAACAAAAGTAAATTGCTATTTCTTGCATTTATCCTTTTTTTTTTTTATCTTTTTTGCAACAACTTTGTCTCCATTAGTGGACTCTATCATTTACATTGCTTTTACATTTTTTTTTTGTGGCATGTAATGAGATCATATAAATGGGACCCACATAAATGAAACTATTCAACTAAACTGAGTGGAAATGTAATAAATGCTTGTAATTTTTTTTTTTTTTTTTTTTTTTGCAGGGTAACATGGTGGGGCGAGGAGTTCTTGAATTTTGTGATGGAGCACCTCCGGTAAGAGCTTCCACAATGGTTGACTTGTGCTTTGACTAAAATCAATTATTGCCACATCATCTTTCCATTAATTTTAACCTCTAATTAAATACATTCTAAAGTGGTTAGCCTCTTCCAATAGCTTTTTTTTTTAATATAAGTTTAACTAATTTATCATCATCTATCTAAATTTAACTAATTTATCATCACCTATCTAAATTGTCCTATAACTAATTTACCAATAGCTTTTTGTTTAGAAATGTAACTAATTTATCATCATCTATCTAAATTGTCCTATAAAACCCATTGATTTGATTTGTCGTTTTCTAAAAACACATCATATTTTGATACAACGTATTTTAATAAAAAAAAATATTACTAGACATTAATATTTAAATACAACTATCTTGTGTCATTATTTGAAATATATAAAAAATATATGAAGAAAAAAAAGTGTTACGTTATAGCTATAAAAATAAAAATAGCATTGAAAATATTATATAACCGATAATCGTGATAATTTTAATATTTCATAACTGAAATATTATTAAATATTTAATAAATCAAAAAGCTAGTAAAGAAATAACAAATATATAAAATTTAAATGTAATTAAGGGGGTAAACTGAAATATTATTGAATGAGAAGGGGTTAGATGTACAAAACCTAAAAACTGAAATAACAGGTTGTATTACATTTGGCAAACACTAAACTCAGACTGATACTGATACGGATACTGAGAGACAAAAATTGCAATTTATGCACAGTGTTTCGTCTTTTTTTTTTTTAATATATGCAACAAAGTGTTTTTTTCTACAAAATCTGCAACCAATTTTTATATTATGACGAAAATATGCAAGATTGTAACCAAAATAGTTACATCATGACATGACATCAACTAAATGCTTATTTATACAACAAAGCTTCACTTTTTTTTACCAATTTATGCAACTTACACAAATTATGCAACAATATTTAACCAATTATAATTACAAATAATAGGTGAAGAACTACATATCATTAGCAGGTCCTCATGCAGGGGAAGCAGCTATCCCATTATGTGGTGTAAGTCTTGAATATTCTCAACAAATACACTCATATGTTATGTGTGTGTGTGTGTGTTTGACCACAAAAGTCAACATAAATTTTTGTTCATGAAGATGAAGTTTTCTTTTTGCAGTCGAGTTTCATATGCATTCTTGTTGATGATTTGATGGAGTTAGCAGTTTATAGTGATGTTGTACAGGTGAGCTGAATTTAAGAAACACTAATATTATTTCCATCTTTCTTATTATAGCATTGTACTTTTATATTTCTTCTTATTTCAATATTGTACTTTCGTATTATTTTAAAAAGGGTAATTTGGGGAGATGTTGTGAAGTATAATGTCTTATTATGAAAATAATTTTAAAGTACATTGTTATAATATAAAGTAATGAATATTACTTAATATTTCTTCTTATTGGGTAGATTTTTTTTTTTTTTTTTTTTTTAATTATAATAATATGTTGCTATTTCTTGCATTTAGCCTGAAACTTGATGGTGCTTATACAGGAACACTTGGCTCCATCAAATTACATGAGGGTTCCCACTGTGAGTAAAAATACTTATTTATCTCTTCATCACAACATATGAACTACAAGGACTAAATCATCATTTCGCTTTGTTAGGATCTTGATGCATATAAAGAAGGGTGTAAATTTCTCCCGAAGCTAAATAACGAGTTTGAAAAAAATGCTACATACAAAGAAAGATTCAGCAGCTTGCAAAATTTGGTGCTTATAATGGTAAGAATATGTACACATCTCTCCTCTTTTTTCGCTTTCAATGTACAACTTTCACTGCATGAAGTACAAGTCACTTGAAATGTGTTTTAGGGTGATAAAGATTCAGTTTTGGTACCCAAAGAAACCTCTTGGTTTGGGTACTTCCCTGATGGAGCTTATGAACCTATACTTCCAGCACAAAAGGTAAATCTTTATGCATCTACGACTTGTACTGTACAACCCATCAATGCATAGGGTATATCATTTAATATAAGTGAGAATCCCAAGATCACTGATTTTTATACTGTGTATTAATGACTTGTACACATTATAACTCATCAACGCTTTCCCTGATTCTTGATTATCACTTATTTATGTGTGAAAACTAAAAAGTATAAAACCATGCATTGATGGGTTGTACATTTAAGATATGGAATCAAGGATTTATACACGGTACAAGTCACTAATGCATACCCATGATTCTTGATTTTATTTATGTATTTATAGACGAGATTATATATTGAAGACTGGATTGGGTTGAGGACATTGGATGAGGCTGGGAGGGTCAAATTCGTAAATGTGACTGGAGGACATCTTGAAATAACTGATGATGATATGAAGAGATACATTGTTCCATATTTAGTAGATGAAGAAGCAGAAGCTCCCCAGAATCCGATTCTATCAAAATCGGATTCTGATGCCACGAGTTTTCTTAGCAGAAAACTTTGTGGACAACAAGACCTTCAATTAAACATTAACATTTTACATCGTTTGTGATACAATTTCAATGTTTATGAATTATTTTTGACATGAATATGTCTATATTTCAATATACTATGCAAAGTCGAAAAAAGATGCACTAATATTTAGCATTAGAAAGACATGTAACTTAGATCATGAAAACTGTTAGATAGTTATGGATGGTTACAAAATGGGTGTGATTGAGTTTTATGTTTCTTTCCAAATTTTGTATATGGAGGATAGATAATTGTTATTATAATGTAGTCTTTGATTACTTTGAATGGTTATATAGAATGTAAACAGTATTTATGGGAAGATTTTTCCAATTACAATCCCCAATGTACCTTTAGAAAATGGAGCAAAACAAGTGGGACAAATAATGAGTTTCTAATTGGGCTCAATGATCCGTATTCCATAATTCGATGTTAGATTTTGTTAATGGAACTTATTCCACCTGTGAATAAAATGTTTTCTTTTGTTATTTAGGAAGAACGACAAATGCTACATTGGTAACAATGCAATCTCAACCTCAATGATGGCCTTTAATGTTATGAGTAACACTGATGATAATAATAACACATCCGTTCGTTCTCCTAGAAATCAAGGATATAAGAACTTCGAAAAGGATTCACAAAATTGCAGTCATTGCAAGAAAACAGGGCGTACTCAAGACAAGTGTTATTGGTTACACACAGTTTTCCTCTTGGTTACATAACATAATACAAATGAAATGACAATCATCCTAACTCTGTCTATGTTAATCACAATCTCCAATGTAGTTTTCAAGTAGCTAATATATATGTTGTACATATTTCTTGGTTCTGAATTGAAAAAAATCATACAAAATAAACAAATATAAAACATAATTAAATTCTTCATCTTGATTTTTTTTTTCTCTCAACCCATGAATGCATAAAAGAAAAAGAATGTCATTCAAGAAGCATGAAGGCCCATTTTTTTTTAATCCACTAAGGTTGATGACTCGGTCTCAACGTCAATTACAAGTATTTTTAGATTCTTATATTTTTTGGAACGTAAAATCTAACATACTTTTACATTACTCATAAATCTACATATGTCCCCAAACGGAGACATCAATGAAGGAGGACAACACCTGATACCGCCGGGCTAGAAGCCTTTTGGTTTTTAGATTTTTATATGATCCAGGAAAATTAAAGTCGTTTCGAAAAATATTTGATGCAAAAGTCAATTATAAGTCATAACTGTCTAGAATTAGAACCGGAATCGTCGATTTATAAAATATTGGAATTAGAACCGGGACCGGTTACACTGGTTTTTTGTATTTTGGAGTCAGTTCCTACACAAGTACTAACTTTTAAAAAATTTAATTATAAAGATGTATTCTTATTTTTTATAATCGATATCTAACATTTATAATAAAAAAATTCACTTTTAAGAATCACAATGTTTTTTCATATTATTTAAAGTTATACAACATTCCGTTTTTAATATGTTTCATTGTCTTAATGGTATATTTTAGGTGATTATCACATGGAAGCTAGTTATTGCATAAATTATAACACAAATTTTGACATATTAGAATATAAGTCTTAGGCCCTATTTTTTTTCTTCGTCAAGTCCTGAATTTATAAAGTGTCTTGAATTTATATTTTTTTTCTTCGTCAAGTCCTGAATTTATAAAGTGTCCTGAATTTATAAAGTGTACTAATTTCATAATGATATTTGAATTGATAAAATATTACTAATATAAATGTTGTTTTCTTTTTTGGACTAAATGCACGACTAATTTTTTCATTTTGTTTATAAATAATAGTTATAATATAAAAATATATAAAATAATCATTTATTTAATAACCATGATAAATTAAAAATGTACAACACCACATTAAATAAATTTTAAATTTTAAATAAATTAAAAGTAAGATTAAAAATATACATCATCATATTGTAGCTCACAATGATTAACTATTTTACACAAATTATGGATAATTAATTAGATTGTTTTAGAAGAAGGTTAACAAAAAGAAAAGTACAAGGATTGCAATATAGGAAACATGATATGTTCGGAGGGTATTTTTGAAAAAATAGATATGAAACTACCAAGATATCATTTTCTTAACTTAATCTATTAGGACATTTTCTTAAAATTAAGTAAAAAAGAAACAATTATATATATCTTAACACATTAAGTTTTCTAAACATTTGCATTAAGTAAAAAAGAAAGGCACCCTTAATCTTCTTTGTCATTTATCAAGATATGTTGCTCCTTATTTCAAAGTGCATAAGCAAACGTACGGTTACTTTGAAACCTACCTTATAAGTTATAAGAAAAAAAATAGAATGGGCTGCAATCACACATAATGGTATACTGATGACTACATAGTCTTAGCAAAAAGTTTTTTAATGTCTATGGAAGGAAGTCAAGAAAGTAAATTAAAAATGAAAGTTGTAGAAATTCTTTTGGTAATCGGCGATGAATGATAGAATTTATAGTTAATTAGTTTATAATCCGTGAGAACACGGTTATAAAATTAATTAAACTTTCATAGTAAAAAGTTATAATTATTAATCAATTATTTCAAATAAATTATTTTAAATAAAAATTATTAAATAAAAGATATTCTTTTAGTTATATAACATTATAATCGTTGATTTAAATAAATACATGAAATTATATCACCTTATAATATATATTTATTTTATTTTATTTTTTATTCTAATGTTACTATTAATTTAATATAATCGGAATGTGAAATTTAAATTTTGAACCTTGAAAAAAACCCTTTCAAAAAAGTAAATTAAAATGGGAAAATGACTTATTAAGGTAATTAATTTTTCGGTATGTCTGGGTAACTATTTTTTTTGTACACATTTAGGTAACAAACTTGTTGGAAGTGTTCACATATGACCATTATGACCTGCTGTAGCAGGTTACATCCTAGATGTGAACACTTTCAACAAGTTCGTTACCTAGATGTGTACAAAAAAATAGTTACCCAAATATGAACAAAACAAAAAGTAAGAGTAAATTACACGAATGGTCTCTGTGGTTTGGGGGAATTTGTGTTTTTGGTCCCTAACTTATTTTTTTTAACTCGGATGGTCCCTACTGTTTATTTTTGTTGCGCGTTTGGTCCCCGTCTTACCTAAAAAGACTATTGTGCCCTTATTAATTTATTTTTTAATTAATTTTTCTTATTTATGTATTTATTTTTTATATATTTAAAAAAATTAATAGACCCCGCATATCTGTATCTCCTCACCGTAAACCTGAAACCACATTTGAGAAATTTAATTTGGGTCTCACCGGTCACCATCCCATCTCTCATCATCGTCAGCTTCTATTTGTTTTCCATCTTTAGTGACATCGACGTCTTCACCATCCTTCTTTTTTTGGTCCTTCAACTCTGGCGAACCAACACCATAACCCACTGTCTCTTCATCTTTTGTGGGTTGTGGTGTTGATTCAACGGAGTTGAAGGACCGAAAAAAGAAGGGATAGTGAAGACGTCGATATCACTAAAGATGGAAAATAAATAGAAGTTGAGGAGGATGAGAGATGAGATGGTGAGGAGATACAGATATGTGGGGTCTATTAATTTTTTTAATATATAAAGAATAAATACATAAATAAGAAATTTAATTAAAAATAAATAAATTAATAAGGGCACAATAGTCTTTTTAGGTAAGACAGGGACCAATCGCGTAACAAAAATAAACAATAGGGATCATTTGAGTTAAAAAAATAAATTAATTAAAAAATAAACAGTAGGGATCATCCGAGAAGATACAAATATGTGGGGTCTATTAAAATTTTTAAATATATAAAAAATAAATACATAAATAAGAAAATTAATTAAAAAATAAATTAATAATGGCACAATAGTCTTTTTAGGTAAGACAGAGACCAAACGTGGAACAAAAATAAATAGTATGAATCATCCGAGTTAAAAAAAATAAGTTAGAGACCAAAAACACAAATTTCCTGAAATCACAGGACCATTCGTGTAATTTACTCTTACTTTTCGTTTTGTTAATATTTGAGTAACTATTTTTTTTTACATATCTAGGTAACGAACTTGTTGAAAGTGTTCACATCTAAGATTTAACCTGCTACAGCAGGTCATAATGGTCATATGGGAACACTTCAACAAGTTTGTTAACTAAATCTGTACAAAAAAGATAATTACCCACATCTAAACATACCGAAAAGTTAATTACCTAACTGTCAACTGCCACATGAGCTTCATTATTTATCAATGTCAATCTACACACGCACTTGTTCATTCAAACACCCCACCCATTTTGACCTTTAGCTACCATATCCTCATCTCCCTCTCACAAACACAGAAGAAACGTGTACAAATGAGTGTCGCTATTCAATAAGATCTATCTTCCTACCAACAAATTGGGTTTCTTCTACCTTTCTACTTAAATCTTCGAAAAATTGCACCATATCGAAATCAATCACAACCCCAGATAGCATTCCACCAAGGGTTGCGTTTTTAACCTTTTGATCCTTCGTTACCCACTTAAGTTTCCATTTATGGCCTCTGCTGCAGTAACGAGATTCTTTATCATCTTGACTTTGCTTCCGCTAATCACGCATTCTATCCCTTTTGTTGTGTTTCATGGTAAGTGTTTCTCTTTGTTTTTTGATCATCGCATGCTTCGAGTTGGAGCTTGATGATCATGATGTGGATCTTGTGCAAAACCCTTGAATTGTTCTACTGTTTTTTGTATTTTTTTTATTGCTTACCTGAGGAAAATAAGTTACGGGGTTTCATGGAACTTCTTTTATTGCTTATCTTGGAACTTTTTGCGAGTCAACTCATGTCATGTCTGAGAGTCAAAGTTCAAAACCCTCACACATAATTTACACATATTTTAACTTAGATTTGGTGGTTTTATATGTCTTTTAGGCTAATTTGTTCCTGTGGGAAATGATCTCATTGCCTTTATGTACATGTTTTTATTTCAAAATGTTATCAGTTTGTAAAATTTCTTTTATGTATCGATCTTGAAGATAGAAAAGAATTCAGTCGACTCTTATAAGTTGAATCTAATAGAAAGGTAAAAAAAATCATATCACATAAATCTATATATTGGTCCATAAAAAGTTGCCATGTTTTGAGATACAATCTTAGCATTCAGAGGGTTTTTGGATGTGTTTTTTCAAGTGATCATCCAACTTCAAGCTATGGGTAGTTATGTAATTTTACACTATCTCAACTTACTTGAATATCCAAATCTGGTTATTTTGATCCTAAATAATTTGTC